GTTCAACGCAAGCTGGTTGTGCATTTTTTTGATTGGTTCTATGAGGATATGGTAGATGAGAAATACCAATTCATGAAGAAGCAAAAGAGTATATTGGAGAAGCTAGCAAACGAACTTGATGCAAAAAAAATGGAGGTTGAGTGTCTTAGGGCTACAAATGAGGGACTGAAGCTACAGTTGAGGGAACTACAAATTCAAATGAAGAAGTTGGTGAAGTGGGAAATTTTTTAGAAGAACATTATTTGTATTGTTTTATGTGTGTTGTTATTTAGAGTGTTACAACAAGTGTATGAGATTGAATTAGTTTGAATCTGTTTGTATCAGTTTGAATAACATAGTATTTATATCAATTAATGTTACCAATTTGTATTAGTTATGGTAAGAACATCATTTTTTAATGTTCTCAATTGACATCAGTTAATCTGTGTATCATTTAATGTGTATCAGTTAATTGTGTAGTAATCAATTTGTGTTGGTTTATGAATTGTGTATCAGTTAATATCATCCAATTGTGTATCAGTTGAGATATCAATTGTGGTTTAAACCAAAACACTTTATACCAAAATAGATAAAACAAGACACGGTTGATATATACCAAAACATGTTACTAATATATGGTGTATACCACTAATATTCTACAGTACAAGGTAGGAACAAAACACACTACATATGTTTAAAAGGAACTACATAGGTCCAAAACACATTACATTTCCAAAACACACTACATAAAGATTTATGTTACTTAAACTAACATATAACTTAAATTGAGTTCAATAGACAACATGACAGACAATTCTAAGTTAAACTAAATTTTCTTCTTTGGTGTGGTTCTCTTTGTTGGTGTTGTCTTTCTTGTTGTTGCCCCAACTTCAGTCTTGGATGAACTCAATATAGTTATAGATTATGGTGGTATAAATGATGTTGATGGCCTTCTGAATGGTAGCTTATTTTCCCTTCCATGAGTTGACTACTGGGATATTTCACTAGCTGTTTGAGATTCCCTCTTAACTAGTAGCTTATTTTCCCTTCCTTGAGTTGACTGCTGGGATGTTTGAGTAGGTGGTTGAGTAGCTGGTTATTGAGTAATTGTTTGAGTAACTTGTTGGGATGCTTGTTGACTAGCTGGTGTTACCTTACAAGTAAGTTTGTTGTGACATGGTTTCTTGCATCTACTACACTTGACAATGAAACCAGATCTTCTCATTTTGTGATCAGAGCCATCAATCTCTGATTGCTATAGATTCCTCCTCTTTTTTGGCCTTCCATACATTTTCCTATACTTAGGTGGTTGCACATCAGGATACTTTGTTCTAACCCACATATTTGAGCCATTTACAGGATAAATTACATGTTTGAACCCTTCCATGTATCTTGATTCCCTGTAATACTTAAGGATATAGTCATCAACCTTATGGTTTCTACTCTTCATAACTGAAAGTGCATAAATACAAGGTAGGCTTGTTAGTTCCCACTCACATCCATCTTTACACCTAACCCTCACCCTTATCTTGTCATTTTTAATGAACTTCAAATTTCTTCCAGATTGGACTGCATATGAGGTTATTACTTCCTTAAAATACATTCCCATATCCCATTTATTTTGGACATGTCTTTTTGTAACTTAAACATTGGGTATTTATTTCTTCTAACTCCACTGTTACTGTCACTCTCACACCCACTTTCTAGATCTTCACTTTAATTATCACTCCTTTTAAAGTTTTCCTTATTTTCTTCCCACTTTTCGTTACCTTTTTTGGTCTTCTTCTTTTGGTCATCTTCTTTTGCAAAGTCAATTAGATTAACTATTTCATCTTTCTAAACCAATTCATCATCATACTCATCAGATTCATCATCAAAAGTTACCTTCATTGCACTATCATAATTGAAGCTCTCATCCTCAGTGTCATCAGAACTAACATCATCATGCACCTCACCACCCTCATGCCCATTATCATCATTTGTATCGGTTTCCATTGCCCTAGTTTCCCTTACCTCGGTTCCCTTCGTCTCAGTTTCTTTCAGTTCAGCTTCCCTTGCCTTAGTTTTTTTCATCTCAGTTTCCTTCGTCTCAGTTTCTTTCAGTTCAGCTTCCCTTGCCTTAGTTTTTTTCATCTCAGTTTCCTTCAACCCCTCATTAACTACTTCTTCATACATTGCAACAAGCACTTCTTCACTCTCATCTACAATGTCATCAGGATCTACTTCTATCTCAACAAGGGAACCATTATAATACCCAGGCTGAGACAATGTGTGTTAAATATAGATATCAACACTAAAATGCACTCTATAAAGATCAACAATCTCTAAGGCACCTTTGTCATCAACCAACACATTCATCCCAAATGTGGGATCCCTGTAATATATTTTCTCTATGGCGCTATAACCTAACTCCCTAAAACAACCTAACAACTCAAAATAACTCCACATATCAACCTCTATTTTCAAATCAGTCACTTATCCTCCTTCGTACACACTAAATACCTCCTCAATGAATTCACCATTGTGATGGATTTTTATATGTAAATGTTCATCCATTTCAAATTATGCCTTAAAGTAGAAGCGCAGAAAAAGATGGATTTATGAAAGATTCCATAAACCCTAAAACTACAACATTTAAAATTTGCAGAAAAATCACTTCAAACATACCTATAGTCAACAATGGTGTCTTCGATTTCACTTTCAACGAACGTTTTCACCTCAAATCGCAGGGTTAATGCACAATGTCAATAGCTCTGCTAGGGTTTCTGCATGTGTTCTGAATGCCTCAAATCGTTTCACTTTCTCTTTTAAGGTTGTACAGTTAAATTCTACATGGGCGATATATTCCACATTAGCTACATGTGTGTGCCAGTTATACACTTATATTGACTTTAACTAACGGGACAAACGGAAAGAATGAATATGACACTATTTGAACAATTAAAGGATCAACTTGGCCCTTTTTAAAATTGAGGGGGCAAAATGGACTCTGATGTAAAGCTAAAGGATAAAAAAAGGATATTTTGCTTACATAATATGTGTTTTCCATATAATTATTAAGAGTGTATCATTTTCCTACTCAATTTTTTTTTATCGAGAACCAAGAGTGTATCTTTATCAAGAAATATGTATATCGTGAATAAAAAATGTATAAAAAATTATGGGTTTTGAGTTTGATCCTCTAAGAATTTTAGATTTGAATTATGTTAATTAACAACTTTTGTGTAGAATCAGTTTCATATGAAATGTTGCTCTGACTTTAAATCGGATTTCTGCTAATAGATGGTAGAATTGATCATTTTAAATACTAAGATTTAAAATTTTAAAAATTGTATCATTTTCCAACTCAAATCTTTTTTTAAAAAAAAACTAATCTTATACTTCTTAATACAATGGTGATACGTATATGATATGTTACATATGCAATCATTTCATTTAATATTTGTTCATTTTTTCAATACTCAAATAATATTTTTTTCTATTCTTTTATTTAAAAAAATTTTAATTTATAAATATCGACAATTTATTTAAATTAATTCATAAATATAAATAAATATTATTGCTTAAGCCATCATTTTTCCTTATTTAAACGATTTTTTCTTATTTAGTTACTATTTTTTTAATGTTAATTATAATTTCTCTTTTCTATAGTTTTTTTATTCACTCATTTCATATTCTCTTAGTCCATGTAACTATTTATTAAGATTGATGTTTTCCCCTAATTCTTTTACTAATTATCAGTTATTGCAAATGATTTAAGTAAAGTATGGTTTTTGTTAACTATTAAGACATTTAAAAATAAATAATAAAAATTTAGAAAGCTAGTTGAATTATTAAATTTTTCGATTATTTATATAATTTTATAAATTTATTCTTAAAAGAAATAGTTATTAACATTTGGGTAATAGTAGTGCAAAATACAAACAAAAAATATGTAACATAATTATAGATATGTAGAAAAATAAATATTTAATATAATTTTTCAGAAAAAGTTTATATTTTGAGATCTAACTAGGGCTGGAAATGAGTCGAGTCGAGTCGAACTCACCTCAGCTCGGCTCGACTCGTTAAGAATTGTTCGAATTCGAGTTCGAGTTCGAGTTCGACACGAACTTTTTTTTAAGCTCAAACTCGACTCGTTATAAGTTCACGAACAGTTCGGTTCGACTCGTTAGGTTCATCTCATTAGGTTCAGCTCACATGGTTCACGAACTTAAAAACTATTTTTTTAAATATATATATTTTTTAGTATATTTGACATTTTAAATAAATATATATATTTTTAAATAAAATATTAAAATAAAATAAAAGTTATCATATTGAAATTTAACTTTATCTTCGAAATCTACTAATTCAAAACCTACACAACTTTCAAGAGATACATTTGAGAGTCTAATTCAAAAACTAATAAATTGAAGATTAAATTTGTCTAAGATTTGAAGTAAATATTTAAACCTAATCTTAAGGATAGTATAATTTTTTTCATATGTAATCGAGTTGACTCATGAACCTAACGAGTCGAACTATGTATAGTTCAAGTTCAGCTCATTTAGTTAACGAACTTAATTTTTCGCTCATACTCAACTCATTTGGTTCATGAACCTAGTTCAACGATTTAATTGTCGAGTCGAATTCCGAACTATCTTCGAGTTGGTTTGGTTCATTGCCAGCCCTAGATCTAACAAAAATTTAACTGATTTCCAATTTCAATTTTCATATACATATATTAAATAAATCATATCCTATATTTTTTTTATTTATTGTATAGAATACATATTATTCCATACGCGTGTCCACAAAAAATTATTGATACGGTTTGTTTAATTCACATCCCTCCAAAAGTTCATTAAACCACTAATTCTCAAATGGGACCCACTTTTACATTTTTCTTATATTTATATCATACTCACTCCCATACACTTCTTCCATATCATATGACCCATACTTTGATCATCACCACTTTCCCTCCACAACTAAATCATTCTTCTTTCTGCTAAAACTTTATCAAAACCTTTTTCTTCATGGCTCTTTTTCTCTTTGCTTTTTTCATCTTAATGCCATCTTTAACCAATGCTTATTGGCCACCTTCACCTGGTTACTGGCCAAGCTCTAAGTTCCAGTCTATGAGTTTTTACAAAGGTTTTACAAATCTTTGGGGACCCCAACACCAAAGACTAGAACAAAATGGATTGACAATTTGGCTTGATAGAACCTCAGGAAGTGGATTCAAATCGGTTCGTCCGTTCCGATCCGGGTACTTCGGTGCCTCCATTAAGCTTCAGCCTGGCTATACTGCAGGAGTTATAACAGCTTTTTATGTAAGACATGGCAACATGATCTATATGTTTGAATTGACAATCAGTTAAACCACTGTGTATGTGGTTTTGCAGAACTCGTTGTCGATTCAAATATGCACTGATTGTTTAGCTTATTAATTACAATTTACAATTAGTACTAATGATGATTAATTGTTGGATTATTGGCAGCTATCAAACAATGAAGCGCATCCTGGTTACCATGATGAAGTGGACATTGAGTTTCTAGGGACAACATTTGGAAAGCCTTATACTTTGCAGACCAATGTTTATATAAGAGGGAGTGGAGATGGGAAAATTATTGGTAGAGAAGTCAAGTTTCATCTTTGGTTTGATCCTACCAAAGGTTTTCATCACTATGCTATACTTTGGAGTCCTAAGGAGATAATGTAAGTCACTCTATAATTTAATTATATTTCTCAAAGTTTTAAATAAAAATCGCTGTCAGATTGCACTCGAGTAAAAGTTTTTGTGCTTTCGGTCAGGATAAATATTGTTACAATACTGATTATGATCATCGCAGTGTGAATTAAACATATTATTTATTATAAAACTGTGAATAACATTATCAATATCTTGCGATACAGTTTTATCGCGGTCATTTTTTATAAGAGAATGATTTTTTAAAATTGAATACATACATTATGAGTGCTAGTCTATAAAAAATCCCATTTAAGCTTGGATTATGCGTAGGTGGCACTGCATGATTGGTCTTAATTAATCAATTTTGCATCAAAGTTTAGGCAAAACTGATTAGTATTTTTTTAAATGAAAGCTTTTTTGTTGTTTAAGAGAGTGGAAAATGAAAAGCTAACAATATAATTTTCTCTGAAATGAAAGAAAATGGCAAATAGGAATGTGACAGAATTAATAAAAAGTCATATAGAAAAACAAAACCAATGTCACATGAATGGCACAAAAATCATAACATTGACACTAACACACAACTAATAAAAAGTGAAAAAGTAACATTAATTTATTCAAGATTGGTTAAACTATAGGCACATTGATAGAAATGATTTATACTGACAATGAGTAACGTGTCAGATTCCTAGTGGATGATGTGCCTATAAGGAGGTACCCTCGGAAGAGTGACACAACATTTCCTATAAGACCAATGTGGCTTTATGGTTCAATTTGGGATGCTTCATCGTGGGCAACAGAAGATGGAAAATACAAAGCTGATTACAAGTATCAACCGTTTGTGGCACACTATTCAAATTTCAAAGCTAGTGGTTGCACAGCGTTTGCGCCTCGGTGGTGTCGGCCGGTTTCGGCTTCACCGTATGGCTCTGGTGGATTGAACTCACAGCAAAATAATGCAATGAGATGGGTGCAAAGATATCATATGGTTTATAATTATTGTCAAGATTCAAAAAGAGATCATAGATTAACACCTGAATGTTGGGGTTGAGGATTATATGTTTTGCAATTTTTGGGAGGTGTCCCAAAAAACAATACTGTTGTCTTGTGATCTTTTTTGTTTGTTTGTTTGAGAAAAGTTTTCTTTTTTACTTTGTGGGGTGATTTGAGGTTGGGGCCCTCTCTATTGTGTGGTTTTTTTTGTCTGTCACATTTATTTTATTTGGTGTGAAGTTATATGCTACACCAAATGGGAAAAAAATAGAACAGGGAGAGAGAAAGGAATAATGTTTGTGAATGTCCAAGAAAAGCAGAGTGGACAATTATGTATGGGTTGGTAAAAGTGGCACTGTGGAGTGCGAATATTATAAACATACTCTTAATTTTATAACGTTATTGTCATTTTTATAACGTTATTGTCATTTCAACGATGAAAACGAGAACACCGTCATAAATAAGGAAGATTTCTGACATGAAACTTGATTATCAATGTCGTCTATTGAAAAATGTCTGTTGGGCGTAAAAACTGAAAAGAACACATGAATCTTCTAAAGTAAAGATCGTGGACCATTGCATTGATATATGAATTATAAGTAAAACAGAGGAAAATTAATATGAATACAGTAGTAAAGATCGTGGACCATTTCTTTTCTAATTGTATTATCTGATTAATAAATATTAATATGGCTCTACATTAAATATCTATCACTTTAGAAGGTACCTTTGGAAGAGGTGAGTGATGGTGATTGAAATAAAAGTTGTGGCGCAAGCTAATCGGGCAACATGATGATTAACAATTTGAAAAATTAATGTAACTTGAAACATTAATTTAAGAATCTTTAACTTAATTTAGGTACTTTTATTTTTTTCTGAAATTGAAGTGAATGTAACATACAAATCAATTGAGTTGTCCATTTCGAAAAATGTGACCCAGAGACTCAAATCAATATTCATTGATTTATTCTGATCAGTACTTACGATGTCCTTAATGATAGAATTATCCCTACAGTCGAAAAATATAAATATCAACATTACAGCTCTAATACATAAAACAGGAATAATTAAAAAAAAAAAAAAAAAAACTTCGGAAAATTGTTATCATCAATATCCCAGCTCTAATATATAAAATATATGAATAATTACAAAAGAAATGCCCTTGCGAAACAATAAATATCTCAACTACTTTAGCGACAGCTAAATCTGAAAAACAAAACTGGACAACAAAAACCAACATCTATGAATCAAACTATAGAAGTACTGTCTCACTTGAGATTGGTACGGAATAGTTGCAATGAATTACCGGTTAAACAACCAAGCATTCCATGACTAGGTGAGTACCTAATATCACGAACATGAGCTGGCATTTTGAATTGCTGAATCGTTCTAAAAGATGGCAACTCTTGCAAGACCAAGTTGCATGTAGCTTCATCTCCAGATACAAATAATCTATTTTGATCTTGAGTGTCTATAACTACACATTTTGGTAGTCGAATATCACTAACATTGGCATTTGAAGAGCCCATCTTTTGGTAATTATTACAGCCAGTTCTCTTTAACAATACATGAGAACCCTGTACTCCTTGTCCAGTAACATAAGGAGTGGGCCAAAATTGAGAATTAGGTGCATCCACCATGGTGTTGAACTTTGGACGGTACGTTACAACAATGTCATCACTGCTCGGGCAATAGGCAAGGGATATACAAACTCCTTGATCATAAGCATCGGGATCATAAGGCTCGGGAACTACAAACCTTCACATTTTCATTAAGAAAAAAATGGAGCATTAGGAGAGGTAAATAAATATACCATAAGCCTTATCCCAATAATTGCTTCCAAAATCAAAACTTGCCGTCATATGTTATCTCATCAGACTTATTCCCAATAAAGCAAAATGTGAATTTCCAAAATGCAAAAGAAACCAGCTAAAAGATTTGGAGGTAATAATTTTGAAAAAAGACTGCTACACTATCATGCAAACGTCAGGAACAAAATAACATACAAATTAAAACTGTACATCAAAATTGAAAACCAAGCAAACCAAGCGTAAAGAAATATCCATAAAGTCCAAACAACCTACCGTTCTTCAGAATCCGTGTTCCATTGACAAGGCCCGATGGCAGATGCGGATAGGATGCTTCTGGCACCAGACGGAAGACTCGATGTTTGTGAAAGAGACTGCAAACTATGAACAGGGTTGCTAGTTAACCCATCTAAATATTTTAAGGGTCCTGCAGTTTGTCTCGTGTCAAACACCAGAACAGAACCATTCTGTGGAAAAGTTATATGACAATCAGCACTTAAAGTTCTTAGATCCAATAAATACAACAACAAAAAATGCTGACCTGTAGTCCAGCATATATGTAATGTGTACTGTTACGATCCCATGAGCAGGACCAAGCAGGAAGCTGGAATATGATTATCGCAAGTTATAAAACCCACATGTAAACTGACTCGTGAAGATTGAAAGGTTTAATAAACAACACTAGTGCATCTTTGGTATCACGATAGACTTGCCTAAACCACAATGAACCACCGTAATTTAGCAAAAGTTACACTTAGCTTCTACAAATCATGGTGACTCATCGTGATTCTAGCAAACTCAGTGATACTAAACATGCACTTAGCATAACATGAGAAAAAAGATATAAACATTTACTAATATAGGTATAAATCTATTTAAATAATTAGGTGGTAGCATTTCCTGTCATTTTGTAGATTTAGCAAGAATCTTCTAAAGCAAAGGCTTTAGGCCTGCTAAAAAAATTATTTTTCATGGATTAAAAAGCCTCAAGAAAAATAAAAAATTGTACTTTTCATGTATTATTAAAAGGCCTCAAAAAATTAAAAACATTCAAGCACAACAAATAAAAGGTCTCACAAGTATAAAAAGATATACTAACTGACATGCTTGTATCTCTAAAAGCAAGAATTAAAAGTAAAATTTATATAAAATTACAATAAAATATTATTATTAACATTAAAAGGCCACTATTTTTTTTTTTTGCTAATTACTAAATTTAGAGTTTGCTTTATGCTTCGATAAATGTTGGGCCAACCCTGAGAGAAATACTATAATTTTAAGGATAGCTACTTATGCAAGTTACAACAGCATTCTTTGCAAAATAAAATAACTCTAATTTATAATTACCCATTACTTACGCAAGTTAATGGGTACTTCTAGTGGCCAACTCAAATTTTCCAAAATGGCACCTTCTTGGCTGTTCATTTTGGATTTCTTTTACTAAATTTAAGGATACTTCTACTCAGCTTTTACTCTCATCTATTTTTCTCGTCATTTTAATCTTTAATAATAAAAATAAATAAATACTATATGTATATTGCAATATTATTCTAGGAAACCACAAAGCATAGAAGTTATAAACTATTAGCAACAGATTTATTTTTACTATATTATAGTAATTGATCAAACTTCTACCTGTAGATTATAATTGAGAACAGGGGTGCCACTGACGAAGCTGAAACAACATGAAATACATTAATGAACAAATTTTACATCGTAAAACCAAATGAATCAGTACTTAATGCAGCTATACCTGAGCACTGATAATTTCTTCCCAAATGAAGCATAGAGGGCCTGTGTATTATCGAAAGGAGAAATGTGTAGGTCTCTAACACCATTTGTAGATGAAGGCAATACAATATCTTGCATCTCAAATGGAGATATTAAGCTCAACTACAAAGCCAGGTTTCCATAAACATCAAAGTGAAATCAGTCATTGAATAAAGAGATGTAAGAGACAACATACACGTGCATATTTCAAATTCAAGAATCTTACTTTAGATAGCAAGTGCACATCACCTATTGCTTTTGGCTTATGTGCGATTAATACAATTTGATTGTAAGTGTCCATATCAAATATGCGAGCACCTTCCAGTTGAAATGCTTTCTAGAAACAGAAAAACAACTTAGTAAATAAAATTCATGTTACCCAAAAAAAAGGCTAGACCATTTAATGATACTTAAACGAAACATTTTAATCATATTCAAAGAATTTGAAGAAATTCGGACATTCTACATGTGGAGAACATGGACCCATCTACGTTGTTAATCCCGGATAGCGTTGCGTAGCACTGACCCCCTAAAATGCTACTATAACGGTAGAGTGGATAGCGGGATAGCTGCTATTTTATAGACTAAAAACCAGTGCGCAAAGTAAGCATAAATACTCAAAAATAGACTAATACACTAAATTAAAGAGATCATCATACTTCATAGTTAAAGAACGTAAAGTATATAGTAATAAAACTTAAGCATAGAAGAAGAATAAAATAGAACTGAACTAATGGAAGGAAGAAGAGCGGAACAAATTATTTGTGAGCAAAAACATAACACTACTCTTCAAAGGGTTAAGATTGAAATTTATACCCTTAAAAAAAGAATTTAAGAAATTTATCCCCAAAATTCTAATAGTGGCTGCAATTAGCGGCCGCTACAACTGCTATTGTTGATAGCAGCTTGTACCAATAGCGTTACACCGAACCCTACCACCGCTACACTATTCCACTATAACGATGCTATAGCGTGCTATTGACAACATAGCACATAAAGTAGATGATATGATAAAGAGAAAATGGCACACCTGAAATAGAAAATTGCAAAAAGATCCTTTTCCATGAGACATTGGGTTATAATTTTGCTCTGCAAGATACAAATAGTAAACAATACAATGTGCTCAATGAAATAAACTGCACTTAATTTTGATTGACAAAAAGGCATTTACTGAATTTTTAAACAATTATTACCAGATTCATATCTCCATTGAGAGTTCCCAGTGGCATCCATTAATCCAGATTGTCTACTCTGCATATCTAGTACCAGCTGCTCCAAATAAATGTTCTTCTACATAACCAAACTTTGAAATTAAAACAATTTAAAAACACACATACAAAGACTCCTAACTTGTACGGCATGAAATCATTAGAAACTAATAAAACAGTTATTAGAGCACCGTGACAACAAAGTAATTGGAAAAAGTGAAGATTAAACTGTTGGCATTATCCAAAATACTTTAATGGGTAGGGGAGTGGAG